ATTAAAAAATAACAATTTAAAATTTTTAGAATTTTAAATCTTAGTTAAATTTTGAGTTAAACTACATTTATTAATTTTTTTTTAATAAAATTTAAACCGTTATACGTTTTAAGTGACGCCCGACTAAATATTCGAACTAAATTCTAAAATCCCTTTCCCACAAAGTCTTCAATGTGAAGATTCTAATTTAGGATACACAGTCTATATATAAAGGCTCTTGTTTCTTGGCCTCGAGACCATTTTCTAGCCAGCACTGTCCCCCCGAAAAAAGACCCCTCAGCACATCTGTGATTACTTTTCATTTTCAATATGGCACAAGTCAAGTAGAAATATTAAATCACATTACTTGACAACCCTATATAGCTGACAATGAAACAAATATTTGTCGTTGGGCTTTATTTTTGGCATTTTAATTAAAAATTGCCCCAGTTGTTGTCGAGGAGACTGGCGACGCTTCTGTACTGCTGCTGCTGTTGGCCTGGCCCAAGTGCAGCATTCAGTTTGCAGCTAAGGCGGCAGAAGGAGGGCGTAGAGCCTCTTTTGGCAGCCACAATGGCCAACAGAGATAGAGAGAGAGAGTGTAGAAAGAGAGAGCAGAATAAGAGACAGCGACAAACAGCGTCCCAATTTAGCCAGAATCGATGCTGGCAGGCGACAATGTAATCCATTCGCCAGCCCTGCACCACCCCCTTTGGCTTTTTGGCCCTTAAAGTTCTCAGGTCTTGGCGAAATGAGCAAAAACTAGTGATGGTGTAAAGGTACCCTTTTTTGATAGGCCAAAAAATTACAATCAAGTTTTTATTTACTAATTTTATCTTAGTAATTTAGATGTACAGATTGGTATTCTCTTAAATTACACTAAATAGGGATCATTTTTAGCATCTCTGCTTAAGTACTAAACAATCTCTTCAGTTTCCAATTAATACTATGTCAGAAGTAGTTGGGAATTGTAAAGAAACAAAGACGTTAGGGCGCTTATTATATTAAGCTTGACCTCTAGTTTCCTGTTAAAATACAACTACATTATTTATATTTAAATTTGTTTCCTTTGACAAGGCAAAATACCAGTTTTTAAGATATACAATTTTTTATATGACACCAGAACCTAATATTAGAAATCCATTAAGCTTAAATTGATTGCCTTAACCTTGAATCAATAAAACAATATTTGATACAATAATTTATGCCTCACGATTAAAATATTTCTTGGTTGTAACGATTTTTAAGGTCAATAACAAACACATAATCAATGTAGTAATCAGCTTCCACCTTACAGCTTGCTGAACTTTTAGTTCTTAAGATAATGCTATAAGTATACCTAAGTATGTTATATGGTACTAAAAATAGCAGATAGTTATACCTAGATATATTCGCATCACTGGCGACCACAGAACAGCATAGTTTCGCTTGAGGTATGCACATCGTTTTGCTACCCTCTCACCTACTCACCTGCTGAACGAATTGCCAGACCTACATTGGGCATGCCCTCCCCTTCTTGGCATCATATACTTATGTTTATATATATACACCTGTCTCTTTCACCGATTCTTATTACGGCTATTATGTATTTTCTTTTGGCAGCGATTTCGTCTAGATTATTGCTTATTGTTATGGTTTAGCCCACCTTTGTTTTTACATATTATTGCTTATTGGCTTGCTTCTGACTTTGCTCATTGTTCCGCTGTTTTTTTTTCGCCTTGTGAACGGGGAGATTGTTACGTCACTCCGGGAGTCCGGACTCCACCAGAGGCATTTCATTAACCGTAATTCAATTAAACGCTCCGAGCGAAGACGAGTAGAAATACTTGTATTTTATTCGATAATTACAAATGCAAGTAATTTGTTATGGAAGCTTTTTTGCCTTACTCGATGACGACGACGACGACGACGCTGTGTGTGAACTTGAACGGCGTCAAAGTCGATGGATGGATGGATGGATGGATGGATGGGCAATTGTAATTGCTTGTTCGTTGTTTTTACTGCGGCTTTACCTCTAATAACATTCAATTGATGCAGCGCCAATTAACTGTGACTGCAATTACTGTATAGAGAGAGCCCAAGCGATATCTCAGAGGCATTGAAGGCAATTAAAAAATCGTTGAATATTTATGGGCATTGGCGCTAAGCAAGGTCGAGAAGTTGGTGGATTTTCTCGACCGTCATCAGGTGGTTTACAAATCATTAAAAGCTCAGCCACAGGTCTGACACTATTAGCTGATTAATGAGACGGGAATATTAGAAATCAAAATATAAATGATTTCAGAGATGGGAATCACAGAATGAAACCAGTTTTGAAGTGACGTTTAGTCGAGCTTCACAGAACTTTGAGGTATACAATTAACCCTAATCATTATACTCTATTTCCATTAAAAAGCAGGTCGTTCTATAAAGAATATATAATTGGAAAGTCTAACTGTTATTCATTGAGTCAATTCAAAATCTTAGAAAGGTTCTTTTGACTTTAATTAATAATTATTATATTTAAAGAAAGCACGCGAAGATCTACTGAACGGGTTTGGAATGCAGGGTAAGATGTTTCATTAAAATTAACCAACTTTACAGATTTCAGATGCTATTTATATAGCCCTGACTGTATTTGGTTTTCCTTACAATGGGAAACCCTTAGAAATACCCAAAGAAAAGATGATAATAGAACACAACGTAATAATAGAATCCTCCTTGCGCACTTATTATTTCCAGTTTCCATTTGGAAAACTTGTGGTGACCACATTTTCAACCCCTTGAAATTACTACGTCTCCGATCTCTCTCCGGGGTGATTCATTCATCCGTTTTCTTTTTGCGAAGCAATTTCTGAAGCTTTTTGAAAATTCCCTAGAACATCGAGCACTTTAATTTACCGCCAAGTTTGCAGTTTTGCACTTCACTTTTGTCCGGGGACCCTAATCGACTCCTCCTCCCCTTCATCCTCTTCCACTCAAATATGGGGCTCGGACTCTCGGCTTATTAGCCGCCGAGCCGAGAGAGTCTCCGGGTCGAAATCACCGCCGTAACCATTACGGCAAATAGGTTAACAGCAGTTTCGTGCCTTTCGCATGAGCACGGCCTTTGAGAGTGTGTTGGTAAGTGCGCGCCTGTGTGTGTGTGTGTTCGTTTGTTTACATAAACCTTTTATCGTTTCGTTTTGGGTTAATTTTTCCCAGTTATTTTGTCCCCTTGCAACTTTTACACCAAGCCAAAAAATAATGATCATCCTCAACTCCTGAAGCTGGTTAATATTTGATTTGCAAACATCTATAAAAAGGGATAAGCCTTATAAATTAAGAAAATCGGGCACTTCCTTTTAGAAGCGTTTTTGCCGCAGGGCTCTTTTGGTCACAAGAAACAGCTGATTAAAAGAAATTGCTGTTCAAAAATTTCTATGATAACATTTGAAATCATTTAGAAATGTAGAAATGTATTCCCTATATATGATTTGGGACTTTTAATTTAAATTGAAACCTAGAATTTGCTTCCACTTGAATTACAAAAACTTTTAACTTTCATAAATTGAATAACTATTTGTAGCTTTTCATTTAAGCCTTGTAAGGAATTTCTTTCCGTGTACTGACACCTCCTACTTCGCCTTCTCCGCCTTCATTTTTGTTTTTTTCTGTTTTTAGTTCGGCCTGTGGTGCAGCAGCAATCGCAAAAGCAACAACAGCAGCCGTGGCAGCAGTTTAACCCACATACGGGCTGCGAGCTGCCCCACCGAATTGCGCAACGGGGCGGAGGCAGGGGGAGGCGTGGAAGTGGAAGGGGGGAATGGAGGGTCACGGGGGCCAGCGGTGTGAATGCAAATGAAACGAAACGACAGACAAGCGGACAATTTAATGCCTATTTGCATTTAACAGCAGCTTGACGGGAGAGGTAGGAGGAGGCGAAGGAGGAGGAGCGGTGAAAATGCGAACTAAAAAAAAAAAAAAAAAAAAAAGAAAACTAGAATCAAGTGTCGGGTTAGAAATGAAACGAGCAAATTGACGGACAGATAAACGGACGAAGGAAGCGGAGACGCAGAAAGGAAAGAGGAAAAAGCACAGATGCGAAGGGCGGATGGAGGTGGGAGGCGGAGTGCGAAGGAGGTGGAGCAGATGAGCAACTGACTTTGATTAGCATGCCAGATAGCGAGAGAGAGGCCAAGAGGCAGCGAGGAAGAGAGAGATCTACTCCGGGCAATCAGCAGTACATATTCATGCCCATGTATGAATTGCGAATATGAACATGAGTGTATGTATGAACATTCCGATGCCACACACTCATAATCTCAATCGAAACCTATTTCATTCAGTTGTGCAAAGCAAATACAGTCGAACTTCTATAACTATTACTTTTATAGTAATAATTTAATTAGTTTCTTTAACGAGAACTTCTTACGACTCGATAATCTTTATATCCTTGGAAAACTGTTAAGATATGTATTATCATTAGATTTGAATCCATCAAATATTTTAAATACACATTTCTTGTTTTGCTTGGAGCTTTCTATAAATAATTTAGGCAAATGTCAGTTATCAGTAATCTTTATTATATTTCTCAGAAATAAGTTAGTGTAATCTTTATTAAAATTCTCAGAAATTCAATTGAAAACCATAAGCACTGTCTATTAACTATAAAATTTAAAATAGAATTGAACCTTAATTAGATTTAAAATAAAATAATGTTTATTACCAACTTGAGAGCTGGTGCATCCCAAAAGCATAACAAAAAGAGTCGCCCTAGGCCTAGTTTAAAATAACATTATTGTTGAAAAAATCTGTTAAAAATCTATTTAAAGATTTAAAAAGTTAACGTTTTTCTTTAATTTCTATATTTTTAAGTAAAGTTATATTTTTAGAAGTTCGACTGTGATTTTTAGGAGAGTAATGAAAAGAAAATAAAGCACAGATGTCCCTCCCGACAGATCTACTTCTATTGAGCCTTTATGCCATGCTTATCCTGACATTTCTTAAACTAAGCCTAGTCTTAAACCTTAATTCTTATGACTAGTTTGAAATATATTCACCTTTTTGCAAGGAGTCGTGCATTCAGCTGCAATTAATTGAGCTACAGATAAGATCAACTAGGTATGGTACTTTTAAACGCTGATGTGCGGATATTATCTCCTTACTCTCAGTACGCTCAGTACACGGTACTTCTTATTCGTTATTAGCTTTTATTTTTTTACTCGTTTAATCTAACTTTATATATTCTGGGTATTTCAATTATTGTTTCAATTAGAGACGCGACAGTTGCTTTTGTTTGTTGTTGTTGATTATTTTGATCGAAGTTCCTGCGATTGATTAGGCTTTTGTTATAGTTTTTATATTTTGGTTGCTTTTGTTGTTTGTTTGCTGAGTTGTTGTTGTTGTTGCTGGTGTCGCAGATTTATTGTTGTTGGTTATATAAAAACAAACGCACATACACTTTCGTAGACATTGGGCACACTGGCACAAGCTAATTTCAACACAATATCGATACCGAGTGTTTTTGGCTTACTTCAGCTTAGCGCTTAATTTTCAGTGGCCCTGCTATCTCTCTCTCTCTGCTTCCCCTGCTTCATCCGCTGTTGCGTTTTGGCGTTTTTCCGTTTTCCGTTTATCTTACTTCACGCGGCGTCTTCTCAACAAACTTTTTTGAAATGAGCCCGTTTCAGTGAAAAAGCTACACTAGCATTTGATTCTAACGAAAAGTGTGGCAGCAGCAGCTGAGAGAAGCTCTTCTCTCGCGCTCTCCCTCTCTTGCTGCTAAGAGAGCCAAAAGAAAGAGAGCGCCTTTCGTATCTGTGTGCCACGTACACGTGCCTGCCTGTCCGATCACATTTCTATCTAACAGCCAGCGTATCTGCAGCTGTGTTTGTTTGTATGTGTTTTCTTTGTCCGCTTTGCGCGCATTTTCTACATTGATTTTTAAAAATTCGTGAGCAAGCAAGAGCAAGCGCTCACGTTTGTTTGTTTTAAAGTTTTGCTGCTGCAAGCTTTTCACGCTCTCCCGCTGGGCTTTTCGCGGCTCTCGCTCTCTTGATTTGCTTAATAGGGCACTAGGTTTTTCATGGCACCGTTGGAAAATTGCTGCACACTCACACAGCCGAACAAGACATTTTTGGGCCACGAAAACTTTTGCATTTCCTGTGCAAGTGCCAAAGGCATAAAACGAAAAGCTCGACAGGCAGGGCTGCAAATGTCGCCTTGAACGCAGCGCATTTGCCATTCAAAAGATGTTTTTATGACATAATAATTGAGAAATGCGCGGCCATATGTTTGAGGCCAGAAAGAGACAAAAGGGGGCGCGTGTCGAGACGAGTGTGAGAGAGAAGGGGATTAGAATAACGAGAAAAACTCGTTCAAGCAAACGTAACGAAAATCATTTAAATAAAATATATAAATTATGTATACGCGCTGTGTGCGTTGCCTTTATCAGCCTGCGAAGGAGAGAACAGTGACGGAGAGCGAGATAGAGCGCAAAAGCTCACAAACACACACGCACCCGGAGAGCAAGTGCTAACTAGTGTGCGTGACACACTTTTATGTGACGTCGTTGATTTTAATTTCGTTTGCTCAATTCCATCGCTTTTTGGGTTCTCGTTCGAGTTCGTGTTCTCCTTTGCTTAGCTTGTCCTTAGTTCTTTACCTAATTTTCCTCCTTCAAGGAGAAATCTAGAGGAATGTGCGTTTGTTGATACTATCTGATGGATTAACACATGGTTCCCAGTTCCAGTTGGACACGAATTTCGAATTGGAAGGTGTTAATTGAATTTGTAACAATTTCAGTTTCTCTCCCTCCTCCTTCTTCTTCTGCTTCTTCGAGTATTTATGTAACCAGCTCGATGGGTGGGAGCGAGAGAGAGCTAGCGCATGCATAGATACTTTTTGGCATTGAAACAAAACGCACACACACACTCGGCCAGCAAAGCCCACACACTCACACAAGGAGAGGAGAACTTAGAACAAGAACAACTTAAGAACGTAGAACGGGAGCTTAGAGATACGAAAACACACACGCAGCACACAGATGCACGCGCTGATTATTCCCTCCTCTTTGTCCTCTGCCTTCTCCGCCTATTCTTTCGTGTCACTTGAAAACGCGTGTGTGCATTATTTAATTTAATTTAATTAGATTCCAGTGTCCAACAGCAGCAACAACAACAGCAGCAGGGAACAGCAGCAGGCAACACAACAGCAGTTATTTCTGCTATATATAACAGCACTGGGACTTTATGTGGGTTTGTTTTTTGTTGGTTTATTTTCTATGTAATTTCCAATTGGTTCGAACCACTTTTGTTTGGATGCGTTGTTGCTTTTGTTGTTGCAGAACCTGACAAACACATGCCCCGCAGCGAACACACATAAACAAACTCACTGGCGACGACGCTCTGACTCTGTCTGAATCCAACTAAACTTTGAATTTCGGATCCGAAACTTGCAAGCAGCTCGCATCGCTGAGATTTCTGTTTCTGTACAGAAAATTCCGATGGTCAGTGGTTGCGAGAGAGCGCGCGCTCTGTGTATCTGTGTGCCAGCCGAGTAAGTGTGGTTGTGTGCGCGCCTCAGAAATACAATTTGGTTTTGCTTTCGTTTCGGATTGGAAGAGCGGCGCTCTCGCTCTCTTCCTCTCTAACCCTCTCTGAAAACAGCCACTTTACTCTCAATTTGGATTCCATCTGGATTTCCATTGAGAATTTTCCACCTCGTGCTCTCTTCTAGGCCGAGGTTTTCTCGTTCTCTTCGCGAGGAGATTCTCTGTAGGTCATTCTGGCAATAACTGATGATAATAATAAAAACATAATATTAATAATAAGAGAGCTGATAAGGCATACTTTGTTTTTCAGCAACTACATTTACTGAGATTGATAAAGTTATGAACAGTTTTACGTTTTCATGCAATATTTAAAATAATAATAATATTAGTAATAATAATTTTATAAAATTTAAAATTAAATTTTTTTTAAATCATTCCCTAAATAATTGTTTTTTTTTTAATATATTTTTCCTAAAACATTTTATATACATATGTATCTATGAAATTAAATTCATTATTTCTCTAGTTCCTAACATTTAAATTACGCTATAACTATTTTATTCCTAAGATCATAATTCCTTACTCCACCTTCCCTTCAAAATCAGAGACAAACCACCCCTATATTTAAGAAACATTATTTTTAAAATGAGACTCAATTTATTGGATTTGTTACAAACAATTGTCAAGTAATATCATTGCCATTGCATTTGCGTCATTATCACTAAGGCTACAATTACAGTTATACGATAAGTTATAGTTACGATTCAGAGTTTTTTTAGGCGATATCCCGGGGGCGGGATACCGAAGACAGACATGTATTGCTTATTGTGGGACTGGAGGGATATCACAAAACGTAAAAACCTAAGGGGAAAAGAACGTAAAATCTGAAGTTACACGAGTGCGCACAACCGCCGTTTGCTGCGTCATAAGTAGGATGGGACCTTTAGTCCATCCCTTGTGGTGAGGAAGCTTGAATAAATAAATGATACGTAGTTTTTGGATTACGCATGGTCTGGTGTGTGGTGCGATCAGTGCTTGTGTTGAACGTTAAACTTAGATTGCCTGTATTTGCAGTGAGTTTGCGTCCGAGATTCATAGGTTATCCTTAAGGGGCTGCTGCATCTCGTTTTCCATCGCTCCTTCTAGCCGGTGGATCCATGATGATCAGCTCGTATGGCTGCTCACATACGCAGCCGTTTCCATGGGGCACACCTCTGGCGCCACCATGGTCTCAAAACGCTCCAGATTCTGTAGGAAAGTGAGCGTGGTGCGCTCACATCTGGCCGTGTGTGGCAGCAGGTGACACACATCCAACTTTTGAGAGTGATTCTCTGTGGCGCCGCACTGCATCAAATTAGTGCGATGCAGGACGTAGCCCACGCGCTGCGTCTTGGCCGTGCTCTTGGTTAGTCGCCTCATCACGGACACATCAAGATCCTCGCTAGCTGACACATGATCGCCGCCAAACTGCCCCTGCACTCCAATCCACTCGTTCTCAGCAAATATAAACTTGTCCAGGGGATCGAGCAGCGATTGTGAGGCTTTGTAGGCGGCACTGGTAAGGTAACCCGCCGGATGGGACTCAGAAGGCTTGACACAGTTGTTGATCCTCTCCAGCACCAGGCGGTATATGTGCAATACCGGCTTATTGTCCAGTACGCCTTGGCCGAGTCCTCGCTCATCGTCACTGGCCAGGCGGCGGTCCTGCATGATCTCAAGCTCGCCAGAAGCCAAGGAAGAGCCACCTAAAGGTTGCCCCGTAAGAAGTGTAAGCCGCATATTGGCATCCTCGATGAACATGCCAGTGGGAATGGGATAATAGTTGGCCTGCAGAGGGAGTTTCTCCAAACGGCGCCGCTTAATGTGCTGCAATCCGTTGAGGTCCGTGTAAAAAATGTTGCCGCTGTCGATATGCGTCTGCAGACGCATCACAATCTCCGTGTTGTCCAGCTCACCGATGTCCACCAAATTGCGAATTTCCGGCGCTCCACCCCGCAAAATCGTCTGGTGAACCACATTGGGCAGTCCAACACTCACTGATGACTCCAGTTTGCCCTTCGTAACAAGGACCACTGGCTTGTTGGCCGGTATAGGCATAGCAGGTCCATTGGGAAGGAACAGGTAGGCTCCAGATCGATCTCCATGCTGACGAGTGCCGTACTTTAGGAACTTGAGGTGCACAGGAACATGCGGACTGTCCTGGGTCAGCTGAATGGATTTGAGCAGACCCTGTTCTGTGAATGCCAAGGTAGGACCATTTCCCACACGCAAGGATATCTCCCGAGGCTCACCGAACTTTACATCTTCGGGATATTCGCCCAAAGGCACGGATATAGGTAAGGTTCGTAGTAAGAGATTCGAGGCAAAGGATGTGTGTCTATAAAAAGTCATTAGAAGGTTAAAATCCATTAAAACTGGAAGCACTATCGGGAATTAGTTAAAAATTAATTTCATTGAACAAAAAAAGTTCAATACACAAAAAATCCATTAGGATGGTACACAGAAATCTTTTTAAAGTTTGATCATGACCTTGAAAGCGAAAAGTTTAAAACAAAATGATAGCAAAACATGTGTTACATGGTCTAAGTGAATAATAATGTTTAACTAATACCTTTAATGATTAAAAAAGAGTAAAAACAAGCAAAGTATATATTTATAATCTCTCTATATGTAGTTCCCTTAACAAATATTCCTCCTCTAAAAATATTGATCCAAATGAATACTCACTCTGGTTTAGTCTCTGAGATAGTCAGAACGTAGGTGGCTAGTCCCATGGGCGGCACTCGAGCCTTGAAAATAATGCGATACTTGGTGGTGGAGCCCTGCGGATGGATGGTCTTCGTGAGCGTGTCATGGTGCCAGCTCCAAACGGGAGACACTTCAGCCTCCACCGGATCGTTTGAGAGGTGACTGACGCTGACAAACGGACTGGACACATAAAAGTCCACCAGCTGCTCCCGCCAGTGGGGCAGGGTGTTGTGCATAACCACATGCTTGGTTGGTAGCTCATCGCCCAGGATGATGGTGGTGCGGCTATCCTCCACGCCCGAACCCGGCCAGCGTGAGTCGTCCAGCGTAAAGTAAGCGAAGCTAAACTCTGGACTGTAGATGGAGGGCTTGGTGAGCAGGCGATAGACCGATTGCTGCATCACCGCCTGGCAGGCCTTCAGGGCCTCCTGCATGCGCTGCTCGTAGTCTATTACCACATGCGTCTTGGCAGTGCCGGTAATGCCGTCGTGATGCTGGAACAGCGACAACTCCCTGCGGGCCTGCTCTAGGCGCTCTTCGATGCGCGCCATCCCGTCCCAGGAGTGCCAGGCGGAGAGCATCTCGGCCGAGCGGACATAGTGCATCAGTACACGATCCATGCGCTTGTGATAGGGCCGGGAGGTGTAATAGCCACTCCAGTAGTTGTCCGAGCGATCGGCATATGTGAAGAAGTCGCCACTGAGCGTGGGAAAGGCAGCCGTGCCTACCTTCTCCGCCTGGTGCACTGCATCAAAGTACTCCTGCAGGGTGCCAAACTGTGCCTGCACATTGAAGTGAGCCTCGCTGTTGATGTGATCGAAGAGCTTCTCGTAATTCACCCGCTGCACATCCCACTCGGTGTTCTGTTTGAAGCGGAAATCGTCGCCTAAAGGAACCAGCAGCACGTTGGTTCGGTACAGCTCGGCCTTCTTCTTCCACTGGTCCACCAGCAGGTCCGAACGGGCCGCTACATTCCCCTCCACGATGGCTCGCGGCGGCAGTTTCCAGGGACAGCTCAGACCAAAGGCGCCCATCCGCTTGAAATCAAACTGGCAACACACCTTGGGATCGGGACCACAAGTATGGGGGATGTCATACGAGTAGAACGGCATCATGTGTGTGAAAAGAGCCGTGTCTCCTTCGTTGTCCCATATCTGGCGCCAGTGGAACTCCAGCTGTCGCTGCTGAGCCAGCTCCTTCTTCACCGAGTAGTGTGTGCGCTGGATGAGGAGATTCTTGAAGCCACTTTTTTGCAGGATGTAAGGTAAAGTGGGACTGTGGCCGAAAGGATCGATGGCCCAGGAGGCGGTGGGCGTGACATTCAGATACTGCTTAAGCCAGGTCTGGCCCTCAGTCAGCTGCAGCAGGACATTGCGCCAGTGAGAATTGGCTTCGTCGGGCATTACCCATCCGCCGGTGACGAACTCCAGCTGGCCGCTTTTGACAATGCTGGAAAAAAGATGTTTTTGGGTTTATAGTTTTGGCAAAGAACCAAAGAATCCATTTGGAAGAAAGATCACTTCAGATGCAGCTGTCTAAACAGCATTGTCAGCGAAATGACTCGTTCTTCTGTGGCCACAAAAGGTGGTAAATTATATCAAAAATATGTGCTTACGACTTCATCTGCTGCTTTTTGTTCTCCCCCAGATCATGGAAGAAGCGCGCAAAGTACGAGGTCTCCGCCCAGATAAACTTCATCTCGGGGTTCTCGTGCAGGTGGCGAAGCGCATTGGACAGGATGTGCTTGGTGTCATGCTGGTAATAATCCTCGAAAGTCTGGATCCAGCCGGGATCGTTGTGTGAGTGCGGCACCACAAACACCTTTAGCTTGTGGTGGGCATTGTACTTGAGCGGATCGTAATTGATGTTCCAGCCCTGCTTCCACACTCCGCCGTCGATGTCCTTGAAGGACATCCGGTCGTAGAGCTCCAGCATCTGCACTTCCACCTCCGGCACCTCGTGCACCACATCCTGGCACTGGCCTGGCGTGGCTGAACGGGGCACCTTAAGCGGCATTTTCAGCGGCTCCTCACGGGCCGAGGACTTAGATAGGCGGGCGCGCAGGCTGCGCATCTCCTCTCCGTGCTCCTGCAGACCATTCTCCGACTGCTGCAGCTTTTTCTCGATCGCCATGAAGTTTGGCTGCAAGATTCAAAGAGTTTGTTAGCACTTTGCAGGCTTTCCTGTCGTTTATTTACCTTTTTCTGATTGGCCGCCGGCGCCGCAAAGTTTAGGATCACATAGAGGCTGAGGAAGACCAGCAGGCAGCCGGAGCAGATCACCAGTGCGAAGCGTCGACGTATGCGCAGCATTTTGCGGTTAGTTTAACATGGACACGGTCACGTCAGACACACCAGCAGCAGCCCACCAACAAATATCCAATCGCTTGGAACTTGCGTGGTTTTTTCGCATAAACAAATTCGTTCAGTGTGACCAGAAAATGTTTGGCAAATAAAACCGTCCGCTTCGAAAACAATACATTTAATACTGAATTAATAAAATTATTTTTAAAAATATTTTAAGTAAAAACTAAATAAAATTTAAATCTTTAAAGTGCAATGAACAATTAAAAATAAAATAATTCAATTATTGTTTCCAGAAAAAGTAGATTTGTTTTAAAAATTGAACTTTTATTCATTTTTTAATTTTACTTTATTATTTGCGTATAAAAATAATCAAATAATTTAAAAATTAAAGACATTTTCTGTTTCAGATTATCAAAACAAATTTATCAATGACCCCCCTAGACTTTTTGCCCCCGCCACTGAACCCAGGTCAGAAAACCTAACAAGGTGGCAGTGCTGGAAGACTGTTGCTTCTGGCCTTGCAGCAATAACGGAAATATTATAGTCTACGAAAATTAGGATAAACTGTGTAAAAAAGCCAAAAATATGCGGCTTAAATACATTAAATTATAAGCCAGACGTGAGATTTAATATTTATTAAACTTGTGGACTGTTGGCTCAATGATTTAAGCCAATATCTGAGTCTGTGGATGCTGTGTGTTTGTTTTCCTGGCTAATATCGATTTTATCAGATGGAGCATCCTTCCATGTAACGCGCCTGGAAAGAGTTATCTATTAAATAGAGTATAATCTAATTGGATTTAGAGAGTATAACTTATTGGCATCATGAAGCGACAAAACGTTCGAACCCTTTCACTTGTGGTGTGCACTTTTACCTATCTCCTAATTGGAGCTGCGGTCTTCGACTCACTGGAATCGACAACAGAGGCCAAGCGATGGGAGTTCTTGCAAGGTAATATTATTATTAACTAATTTATTATTACATCCTTAATTAAATATATTGAATTATATTAATACCTTCCAGCTGTAAAGAACAACTTTGTTAAGAAATACAATGTAAGCGACGAGGATTTTCGGGTAATGGAAATTGTCATAATTGAAAACAAACCGCACAAAGCTGGCCCTCAATGGAAGTTTGCTGGAGCCTTTTACTTCAGCACCGTTGTCCTGGCCATGATAGGTAAATATAATATATAAAATACAATATAAATATTTTAAATGAAACTACAACTTTATAACCCCTTGAAAACACCCTCTCCTCTTCTGAAACCTTCCCTATTTTTGCATTTTCATTAAATTTCTATAATTATTTTTAGGCTATGGCCATTCAACTCCTGTCACAATTCCTGGAAAGGCTTTTTGCATGGGCTATGCCATGGTAGGTAATCCAATTATACTCACTTTCCCTTTTAATAATACTAATCTCTCTCTAGGTGGGCATTCCTCTGGGCCTGGTGATGTTCCAGTCGATTGGTGAACGTCTGAACAAGTTCGCTTCGGTTATCATTAGACGGGCAAAGAGGGCCAGCGGAGCTCGCTGCACGGATGCCACAGAGATGAACCTCATGTTGGCCACGGGCATGCTCTCCTCGATTATTATCACCACAGGAGCGGCAGTCTTTTCCCGCTACGAAGGTTGGAGCTACTTTGATAGCTTCTACTATTGCTTTGTCACCCTGACCACCATCGGTTTTGGGGACTATGTGGCCCTGCAGAATGACCAGGCCCTCACCAATAAGCCTGGCTATGTGGCCCTAAGCTTGGTCTTCATTCTGTTTGGCCTGGCCGTAGTGGCTGCTAGTATCAATTTGTTGGTGCTGCGCTTCATGACCATGTGAGTTATTTTTAACTTTTAAGTTAACAGGAACAGATTTAAATGAATTTTCCATTCCAGGCAAGCGGAGGATGCCAAGAGAGATGAGCAGGATGCTCAGAATTTAGCTGGAAATGCCCAGCCGGTGACCTTTGATGATGAGTCCACGTACAACATGCATGGTAAGCTGTTGGAGAACAATTACACCACAGAGAATGATGAGACCGCTTCGCTGTGCTCCTGCACCTGCATGGGCGGCACTCGATGCCTCAACCATGAGCAATTTGTTGATCCGGACTTCCAGCCCACGGATATTATTGAGAGCACCCTGTGCTTGAAGCGCGCCTCCGTCTGATATCCGTATAGCCAGCTGTGGAACTCCTCTATATAGGAACCAGAGCCGAACTATAGTTATACAATCCTGTAGAGACACAACCGCCGGTTACGAAACATTGGTTGTTAGACGAACCTTCCCTACGCAGATATTTACACGAGGAAGGGTTGGTTATTGTGGATTGAGAGGGGGAATACATAGAAAATGATACACTTTATGATAAATGCATATAATGAAGCATATTTAACAGCGCAAAAATACCACAAAAAGCCAAAAAGTCTTAGGGACTTCTTTGTTTGACTTTCACATAAGAAAACTATTCATATTTTCTTTGCGACTATTTAGCTACTTGACAAAAGTAGAGTATTCAGAAATTCCTATAGATTACTATCCTTAAAAAGGAGTTTCCCACAATAACCGACCCTCTTCCCCATATACACACATTTACAAAGGAGGAAACTCCAAGAACCCATGTCAATATCAATCACATCATCTGGTTGGGAGCCCAAAGAAGCCTTAATAGGTTTCCTGGTAACTCCTCCGCCACTAACCCATCTCATATTGTAGCCCTAAGATGTTTTAACCAAAGAAAGCACTATTAAAGATTTTTTGCCCAAAAAACCTCCAGAAAAGTAAGCTGTGATTATTTAAAAGCCAAAAAACTATCCCAAAATCGATTATCGCAGTAGGCGAGACATGAAACTTCGAAGACGGATTCCCTTGTAGCCTCAGTCCACCTCCGAATCAGCTAGAAGTTACACGTGTATAAAAGTAAAACCAGAAAAATTGTACGTTAAAGAAATCAGTCGATCGTCGGTTTCTGCTCCTCAAACACTTGGCTCTTTTTTTCCGAAAAAACAACTTTTATCTCGTGTCCGGTTCGTAAGAATATTTTTCTCCTACCGGCAAGATGCGTGAAATTGTGCACATCCAGGCCGGTCAGTGCGGTAACCAGATCGGCGGCAAGTTCTGGGAGGTGATATCCGATGAGCATTGCATAGACGCCACAGGAACCTACTATGGCGACAGTGATCTGCAGCTCGAGCGCATTAATGTCTACTATAACGAGGCTACCGGCGCCAAGTATGTGCCGCGTGCCATCCTGGTGGACCTTGAGCCCGGCACCATGGACTCTGTACGTTCCGGCGCCTTTGGACAGATTTTCCGGCCAGACAACTTTGTTTTTGGCCAGTCGGGTGCCGGCAACAACTGGGCCAAGGGTCACTACACAGAGGGAGCAGAGCTGGTAGACTCTGTCCTGGATGTTGTAAGGAAGGAGTCAGAGGGCTGTGATTGCCTGCAGGTAAGTTGGTTTAGAAATAATTCATGATTGGGAAGGGGAAATAATTTTTCATTAATTTATATTGACATGTATGTCAACTAGGTTTTCCCAAAAAAAAAAGCCTACTGATTTTCCAACCATAAATATCCTTCTCACCTCCGCAGGGCTTCCAGCTTACCCACTCGCTGGGTGGTGGCACTGGCTCTGGCATGGGCACCCTGTTGATCTCAAAGATCCGCGAGGAGTACCCAGACCGCATCATGAACACCTTTTCGGTGGTGCCCTCGCCCAAGGTGTCCGATACCGTTGTGGAGCCCTACAATGCCACCCTGAGCGTGCATCAACTGGTGGAGAACACCGACGAGACGTACTGCATCGACAATGAGGCGCTTTATGACATCTGCTTCCGTACCCTGAAGCTGACTACGCCCACGTACGGCGATCTTAATCATCTGGTCTCCGCCACCATGTCGGGGGTGACCACCTGCTTGAGGTTCCCTGGCCAGCTGAATGCTGATCTACGCAAGCTGGCCGTGAATATGGTGCCCTTCCCCCGGCTGCACTTCTTCATGCCCGGGTTCGCACCGCTAACCTCTCGCGGATCGCAGCAGTACCGTGCCCTGACCGTTCCAGAGCTGACCCAGCAGATGTTCGATGCCAAGAACATGATGGCCGCCTGTGATCCGCGTCATGGTCGCTACCTGACGGTCGCCGCCATCTTTCGCGGTCGCATGTCCATGAAGGAGGTGGACGAACAGATGCTTAACATCCAGAACAAGAACAGTAGCTTTTTCGTTGAGTGGATTCCCAACAACTGCAAGACGGCCGTGTGCGACATCCCGCCTCGAGGCCTTAAGATGTCGGCCACCTTCATTGGTAACTCCACGGCCATCCAGGAGCTGTTCAAGCGCGTTTCGGAGCAGTTTACGGCCATGTTCCGGCGCAAGGCCTTCTTGCATTGGTATACCGGCGAGGGCATGGATGAGATGGAGTTCACTGAGGCTGAGAGCAACATGAACGATCTGGTGTCGGAGTACCAGCAATACCAGGAGGCCACCGCCGATGAGGAGGGTGAATTCGACGAGGATGAAGAGGGCGGAGGAGACGAATAAGCACACGAATATACACACTCGCACTATCACACACACGCTGCACTAAAAACCTGCTCCATGATCCTGCACACACAGCCACACACACACACCTCTCCAAATGGAACCACAAACTAAACTGCACTGACCCCGACCCATATTTCCAGAATTCTAATTTGCACAGCCTTAAATCGAGCACACAGAGTTTCTACATTTCGTTGGCAATGCTCGCTCCTAGGTGAATATCACACCATTTGATCATAAACACCATTGTAATTTTGATGCTGCACAGTTATTAATCATGTTGCTAGTGACAAGTCACCTATTATGTGTATAAATAAATGTTTGTTTTGGAATCGAAATGAATATATAAGTTCCTATTGATAAAAAGTAAAACCGTACCCTTGGAAAAGTCACATTCGTGAGTGCATCTTCTACTGGTTTCCTTGTGAATCTCCTCCTGGTCGCTCTGTAGGAAAATTCCCTATTTAAATTTTCCCAGTACCAGAATTCCTTGCTTACCACATGTGGATTCCAATAACACCGAATTTTTACTCATTTTTAAAAATATTGAAACTTGAATTCCTTGTTTTTCAATCATTAGGGTTGTTTCATCCGATACGTTCACAGGTGACAATCCTTGTCAATACGTTCAAACTTTGTCAAGTCAGAACAACTGTCATGTATTTCTGCCAGAAAGAAAAGCCAGTCATTCGAGAAAATGGATTCAACTGAGAAAAGCGATTCGCCATCAAGCCCGTTTACCTCTCGCAGTGGCTTTATGCGGCATCGCAAGCGTTCAGCCAAGCATCCCATCACCTTGCTGAGGAAGCCGGGCATTGCTAAGGAGCTGAGGGAGCTCCATTACGAGGAACAAGAATACACGAGCTCCTCTTCGGTAGGATCAACGACGTCCCAGCTGGTCAGCGACGACAGTGGCATCGATGTTAGTCAGGACAATGGAAAAGGACACAGCTACTTCCTGCGCAAGAGATACACGAATCCTTTCTAGTGGTTTATTCATCGAATGGTGTACATGGGTGTAAAGGAACAAAAGCAGCAGCAGCAGCAAAAAATACTTATGTGCCAACGAAATAAACTACGGAACATTGCAGGCATTGAGATACTCGGTTACAATTAGAAATATAAATATCCTTTTTCGAGCCTAGACATCGTCAAAGAGTCCTCGGGGGGGTGGACCCACAATGCGTCGGTCGTGCTCCGGCTCGTAGTCAGGATCCCGAAATCCGACCTGCACTTGGGTGCTCACACCGAACCGATCGTTGATCTCCTCCGACAGAGATCTGGGCACTCCCAGAGCCGACGAGGAGGCCACGGCTGCATAGTCAAAGCTTCCATCGCCATCGCGCAGCAGTCCATCTGCCGGGGTGCGACCGCTAGTCAGGGTGCCGCCGGCTCCTCCACTCCGATACTTGCTTAGGTAGTCGCTACCGCCTCCCAGCCCCGGATCCTGCCGGTTAAAGTCACGCCGCCTGGCCATCGCCTCCTCGGCACGTTGTCGCCGACGCTTCTCACGCGCTATCAGATCCTTGCCCTCCTGCACCAGTTCAGTGGCAATCGTTTCGTTCTGCAGAAACTGCTGGAAACCCAAAGCATTGAGGGCCCTACTGCCCAGGCTAAACCAGGTAGCCAAGCAGAAGGCCAGCATGCACATGGGGAAGTAGATGTTGAAGCCGTTCGAGATGATGCCAATGACGTCCATGTGTCCCATTATCTGCGTGTAAACGGTCTCCATAATGCGGTTGGGAATAATGTGCGTGTCCATGTGGATGAGACCGAGGAAGTTGAGGCACATGGGCGGCGTCAGGCGGCAGAGCAGCATGCCACTGAAAATCAAGCTGTGCTCGTTGGTCTGGTGATGCGGCGCCAGATAGTACAGGTTCAGGAAGCGTATCCTCAGGATGGTCGAGTAGGTGCAGTAGAAGAAGTAGCAGAGGACTGCCATCGAAAAGACCTCGATGGTGAAGAAGTCGTAGCTCTCCTTGGCCACATAGATCACGTTGGCGAATATGGAGAGCACGGGATGGCGACTGAAGAAGGTCAGCTCGCTCCAAACCACCATGGCGGACATGGTGGCGGTGAGAACGCACAGCGTCTTGAGAAACGGCGCCTTCAGCAAGCACTCCCAGTACCACTGCAGCGTGGCGCTATAGCAGATCCTCTCCAGCTGTGTGCGCTGGCGCGGAAACTCCGACTTGAAGCGTCGCTCCGATGAATGAATATTCCTGGCCACATCCTCCAGATGCAGCACCGTCTGCACTTGGACGCTCCACAGGGCCTCGGTGCGCTGCAGGGTCTGCAGTGATTTGATTACCTGCTTATGGATCCGAACCAAAGCCTTCTCCGAGGGCAATATGGTAGAGCTGGTGGCTCCCATGCCGCTGCCTCCAGTGCGGGCAAAGTTCCGGCTCGCTCGCTCCTGCAGCTCGATGGGAACCTTGCGCAGAATGGTCTCCAGGCAGGGTCTCAGCTCGTGATTGTTGGGTATTACACGGCTGATGCACTGCAACGACTCCAGAATGTCGTCCACATGCTCCTCGGCCTCTGCCTTCTCAGTGCTCAGTTTGGCTGCCTTAAAGTAGGCATATTGCAGTGCGAATCCCGGCTTGGCATTGTTCCACAACGAACGTGGAACCTCTACCAGAGCATAGCCCAGCAGCAGGATGAGCAGAAACAGACCCCAGGTGTTTGAGGCGGACGAGGCGATTGCCTTGAGTTTCTGCCAGTCCAGGGACTCGCCCTTCACAGCTATGTAGATGAGCAGAACGCCGCAGATAAACAGGTAGGAGCCGTAGTAGATGGCGTTTTCGATTAGTGCCGACTTGAGCTTTCCCTTGACAGTGAAATCGCCCGCCTTTAGGTACGACTGCATCAGGGGCATGATCAACCAGGTGAGAAACTGCGAGCTCCAGTAGATGATGCGCCAGAGATTGGGGAACACCGAGGCGGGCACCATGCCCCACGGTTCCTGGCACTCGGGCGGCGGCGTGACATTGGCATTGGCCGGAGTTGTGGAGACATTGCTGGGGGCTGGAGTGGGTCGATGCTCTTCCAAGCACTGGCGGTAAAGGGTCTGCAAACGATAAAATTAATTTATTTATTTTTGAAGTTTAAAATAAGATAATGTAAAGATAATATTTTTTATACGCATCAATATGCTCAATGTAGACCTATTTTTATACGCATTATAAACTCAATGTAGACTTTAGGGTGGGAAAACTTCGGCGGTGATTCATTCACCGATAAGAAATTCCTCAACAAATCAGTGGAAAATGTTGACAATTAGATTGCGGCCTGCAAAGGCTTAGGTAAAACTTAATTTGTTCTTTCTTTTTAACAAAAGAAACCTATTTTTAATTTTAATTTAATTTTAAGCTTAAAAGGTCTGTCGTTTAGTTCTTTCTTAATTTATATTTGAGTTTAAAAATCAAGTTGATGATTAAGGGGGTCTTCTCATTGGGCAACTTTTTTTTTCGATTTTTTTTTTTTTGCATTTATTTATAGCTTGGGGTGGTGTGTATATGTCCCCAAAAGGATTTTTAGAAATTCGAAATACTTTAGAAGATACAGCCTTTTTTGTGAAGCAAGATCTATGCAAAATGAGCTTTTTTCAAACTTCAAACGCGTTTATCTCGAAACCACGTTTTTCGAACTGGCGGCCATGATATCTCCAGTTCAACTCAACCGATTTTCATGAAACAAAGTGGAATCGACGCAGAATTGTCACCATTCTCGGGTGACGGAACAGATTTTTTTTTAATTTTTTTTAAATATTTTTTTTTACACTAAACTACAAAAAAAAAAGCCCGAAATCGAAATTTTTTTTTTGAATAGCCGCCATTTTGTTTAAAAAAATTAAAAAAAAATCTGTTCCGTCACCCGAAAATGACATCTATTCTGATTATAACCCCGTTTTTCTTTTTCATTTCGGACGCTCTGGAGACCCTGAATCGTGGCCGCCAGGACGACACCTTTTTTTCGACCACCAAGTTTGAAGTCTCATTACTCTTTGAACAACCCTCGTATCGAGGCAAGAACAACTTTTTTAGTTACTTTGAACATTTTTGAATACAATAAATAAAAAAAGTTTTCAATTATTCTTTGCGTTTTCAAATAAGAATTTTTTTAAAAAGGGTCCAAAAAACGGCTTTTGAATGAGAAGACCCCCTTAATAGCTTAATTTGGTATAGCCACCTTATTAAATATAAAATCAAATCATATTTTAAGGACATCTAACATGGTATCTAGTCACTTATTCAAGCCATATGGATAAAAGCATTAATCTTCTATACATATGGCACACATAAATATGGTCTTTAAAACCTTATTACCATCTATTTATGGAAATACTATTAACTCAGTAATATTCATCAGTTTTAAGTACATATTTTTATATGAAAAATATATATACATTTCCCCACTTAAAGCCCAAACTCACCGATGTCACATCCAGCGGAATGGTAAAGACAATCAGGAAGGAGAAACACCAGGCGGTCAGCACGGACAGGGTGACCAGGATATGCTGACGTGGTATGTTGCCGTAGCGGTATAGCGAGATGCTGGCCAGGAAAAGGGCGGCCACTATGCCAAAGGTCAGCAGGTAAGCCATGTCTCAAGAATCCTGCCTACTCCAAGTGAGTGCGAGTGCTTTGTGATTTGTGTGTGTGTGTGTGATCTAAACGGCTATGCTTCGCTGATTACGACCTTATTCATTGCGAGAGCCTGCGGGCTCGGTGTTTTTCCTTGGGTTACTCTGGCTACTGCGCTTCTTCTGCAGTTGGCGCGCAGTCTCGCGATGCATTTCCTCGAGTCGTTCCAGAGCCTGCGTCTTCAGCGGCATCAGGTGCGGCCGGCAAAAGACCAGCTCCGATTTGTGCTCGAAGAACAACTTTCCGGTGGTGGGCTCTATCAGATCGATTTTCTCATTCACTTTCCTCAGCACCTCGGCCTCCACAGCGGACATGCTTTGGCGCTCGACGGCCCGGGGTTTGGGGTGGTGTGGGGCTCCGCGACGGCAGAATCTAGGTGTTGCAGTGCCAGGCAACCGTTTCTTCGCTCGCCGTCTTATTTATTTGTTTTATTTAAATCGTGCAGCGACTTTATCAAAAAGTATGAACGTGGGTGGGTGGGGGCCAAGTACCGTACACGGTTTGCTGAAGTGCGAGCTTTTCAGCGAAAGGCTGAGCTGGTCACACTGGTAGAACGGGCGCCTTTCTTCTAATTTTGCAAGATTGTCTGATTTATAAAAACAAAAATATACTTCGAAAATCTCAATTATTATTATGACTATTACTGCAATGTACAAATCCCTTTATTAGTTAAAAACGACTCAAATCTTTCTGCCTCTAGAATAACATTCTTGTTTGGTCCGCTTCTTTTGCAGCGAGTTGGCAGTCCCGCCATTGTTTTTGTTTTGCTGGCAAGAGCCAGAGAAATTCTTAATTTTAATTATTCGAATTTAGGTCTCTGGCACTGCCAAGATTTACAAAAAATGGAGACGGTTGGCACGGCCTTGCAGGCGGACAAATCCCCGGATTGCCGTACCAGCGGCGATGGCATGGAACAGCCGGAAAACAGTTTGGTGGCCAAAACAGAGAGTGAAATCAACCAGAGTGCTGATGTGGGCACTAAGGCGAAGCGACCTCAGCTGCATCGCAAAGACAGCACGGTGGTTCAGGAGGCGGCGATGGGCAGGAAAACATCCACAAGCAGTGGACACGGCTCCAATCTACCCCTTCCCGGCCTGCACACGCTCTACAGACGCCCCGAAATCGTGACCAGGAGTCTGGGTCCTGCGATGCCCAAGGGCGAACTGGTGCAGATGCGACCGAGGTTGGTTACCAGCCAAGAGACGCTACCCGAACACAAGAAGACCAAGCCCCCGAAGTTTGTGCCATTCGAGCCGTATCCGGGTGCCGTGAATCCCATGATCCCCACGTCCGGGAACAAGCATAAAATTCATCGTGACAAGAATAACCTGGACATTGCAGTGCTGGTGGATCAGGTCTCCACGTTACGGACTCAAGAGCTGGACGCGGAACCGAAGAACGTTGAGGCCGGCGCAGCCAGTAGCCAGGAGTTGGCCTCCGTCAAGGAGGAGCTGGCGAAGATGCGCGAGGAAAGGGACTACTTTCAGGGGCAGTACAAGTTCCAAACGCAGGTGAACAGCGAACTTAAAAGCCTGCTGGTGGCCTCCGTCGGAGAGGATCTGCAAACCCGTGTTAACGTCTTGACGGAGGATAAACTGCAGCTGGCAAGGGCACTCCTGGACACCGCTAACAACCTGACCACCCACACCGAACAGATTGAGTTTCTCGCAGGCCAGTGCGAGGTGTGGCGATCCAAGTTCTTGGCCAGCAGCGTCATGGTCGAGGAGCTGGCCCGCTGGAAAGCCGATCTCACACAGAAGAACCAACTGCTGAACGAGTCCACAAAGCAGCTGCTGCATGCCACCCATCAGATTCGCGAGATGCAGCTGGAGATGCTTAAACAGCTCAAGTTCCTGGCCAAGATCCGATACCTTAACCTGCCCGCCACCGATGTGATCAGCCTGAGCGCTGAGAACCTGAACATTCTACAGCGTATGGTCCTGCACACGGGCGTGGGCATTCCCGAGGAGTCCCTCAAGCTCTCCAGTGCCAGTACAAGTCCGCTCTGCGAGGCGGAGAAGTATGCAGTCAGGGTGAGTGGTCCCCAGGTTACCATAGTCAAGTTATTTTAATTTGATTTCTATCCTCTCAGGCCTTGGAATTCATCAGTCAGCCCCTGATGGCCACCGATGAAGCCATACGAGCTCTTTTCGACCAGGCCCAGCGGCCCCACTATGTGCAATCCCCTGCCTCTGAGGCGAATGTTAGCGATAATCCTCAACAAGAGGCACAGCAATAATTTATCCATTATAAGAAGTCCGTGTGAGATGTGTGTTTAGGTCTAATAAATTTTATAAACAATCAACAATGATAAATGCAGGCATCTACTTTGAGTTTTCTGATCCCTTTTTAAATCCCTCTACTTGGACTTTTTTTCGGTGGCATACAGATCCAAACGACGCTGACCAAAGACTGGTATCTGCTGACGCACTTGCTCCACCAAAGAGAAATCAATGTCTGCCACCACAGTCTCCTCGCCATCGCTGGCACTTTGCTGCACCTTGGCCCAGGGATCCACCACCATGGAATGGCCATAGGCCACATACTCGGCACTAGTGTCCCTGGCTGGCGATGTGGTAACCACAAACAGCTGATTGTCGTTGGCCCGAGCTCGCTGCAGCAGTTCCCAGTGAAGAGGACCCGTCGTCATGTTGAAGGCAGCCGGATAGATGATCATCTCGCAGCCCGCATTGCGATAAAGGCGAGCCATCTCCTCAAAGCGAATGTCGTAGCAGATGCCGATGCCAATCTTGTGCCCATCCACATCGATGGTGGTGAAGTCATTTCCAGCCGACAGAGTCTCCGATTCCTTGAATCGAATGCCGCCCTTGACATCGATGTCGAACAGATGCATCTTGCGGTGCTTGGCCACCAGGTCGCCGGTGGGCGACCACACGGTGCACGTATTGTAGATGGCATCGTTCTCACCCAGTTCAGGAATCGTTCCTCCCACGATGTAGACCTGATGTTTCTTGGCCAGACTCGAGAGCTGCTGCGAGGTGTAGCCATCGGGAATGGTCTCCGAGTACTCCCGGAAGTACTTGGTGCCGTAGGGAGCATTGAAGCACTCCGGCAGGGTAATCAATCGCGGCTGGTGCTCCTTGACCGCCGCCTCAATCTTGCAAGCTGCATTTTGGACATTGGCCACCTTGTCCTTGGAACCCCTCAGTTGCAGCAGCACCAGACGCATGACTATGGGAATTTAAATATGGTTTTAGCAGTCGACTAAAGTTGGAGAACTACTTACTGTTGCTTGCCCTGCTCATATTGCTACAATTAATGTTATCTGTTTGCGGTTTGATAACAACTTGCACCGCAAAACAAAACAACAACAGGTGATGGCAAGGGCGTGGAAAAGGGGGTTAAAATAATGAAATATTCCTTTGACAAATCTCTTTGCTCCGCCTCTGGCTTTCAGCTGATCTGGCAAGGCCGCCAGTCGCGAGTGCCAAAAACCTTGCCAAATTTATTTGTTTTAAATCCCCCTTCACAGACATTTTAAGGCAAAATCTTATCTAGTTTATTTTGTACTCTTAGAGGATGATCAAACACAGTCCTTGTCAGTTGTCTCCCTTCCCACTCTCGGCCAGACTGCGCTTATACTGATCTTCCGTGACCATAACGCCGTCCATGTCAACAAACCGCGTGTGCATGCCGGCTGCAATAAATCTCTTGGCGGCACGGACATCCAAACGTGGGGCAGCCAGGGCAGCGTTTATCTCCTTATCGCGGGCCAGCATTTCCTTGGCACGTCCCAGATCGTGGACGACAGCATGCTTGGAGGTATCCACGCCCTGCAGCTTCAGGTTGATCCAAAACAGAGTGCTGTTTAAATAGGTCAGATAGGTGTCCAGCTTAATCTGATCGTCCAGGGATAAGGAGCGACCATTCTGCAAAGCAAGCGCCTTTTCCAAGTCGGCTTCCAGAACGGCAATTGTGGATTCGAAGTTTTTCAAAACGTTCTGCAGATTGCTGTCTTCTTGGAGAGCCTCATCCAGCTGATGGGTGTTGTTGCCTTGGGGTTTAAACAATTGTAAAATATATGTAAATAATAGTATTTTGTAAACTTACCTTGAGTCATCTTGCTGTTTTTATTAAATATAGTTTTTTCATTTATTAGTGCCAGTGTTGGAAAGAACGGATAGTAGAGGTGGACATGGATCTGGTACTTTTGGCCCCTCGTGCACGGGAAGTCTGGTAACACTGACGTGACGAAGCGCAGCCAAGTTCAAGTCGCTCAGCGCCAGGGCTGCCAACTTTCTTTCTAGTTTCGATCTGTTGAGGTACGCACGTGTTCATTTTGTGAATTTAAGGAAAATTGCCGCATTTCGCCAAAAAACGGTTGAAATAAACCACAAAATGCTCATCCCCCTATCCGCAAACTTGCGCAACATTCAAATAACAATGATTTACTTCGATTTTTCATATATATCACCGACGGATTGCGATTGTTACAACCCAGCAGCAACAACAACAATATGGTCCAACGTCTGACGCTCCGTAGGCGCCTGTCCTACAACACCCGCTCCAACAAGAGGCGCATGTAACTAATAACCCACATCCAACCGAATCAGCAGATTGTAATAATGTATCTCTTGATTTCCAGTGTGCGTACTCCCGGCGGCCGTCTGGTGTACCAGTACGTGAAGAAGAACAAGACCGTGCCCCGTTGCGGCCAGTGCAAGGAGAAGCTTAAGGGCATCACCCCCACCCGCCCCAGCGAGCGTCCCCGTCTTTCCAAGCGCCACAAGACCGTGTCGCGCACCTATGGCGGAGTCCTCTGCCACGGTTGCCTGCGCGAGCGTATCGTCCGCGCTTTCCTCATCGAGGAGCAGAAGATCGTCAAGGCCCTGAAGAGCCAGCGCGAGGCCCTCGTCAAGCCGGTGAAGGCGCCCAAGGCTAAGCCCGATCCCAAGAAGAAGCCCGCCACCAAGACCAGCAAGGCAGGAGCCGGCAAGGTCACCAAGGCTGGTGCGGGCGGCAAGGGACCCGCTGGCAAGAAGCCCGGCCAGAAGCCTGCCGCCGGTGGCAAGCCCAGGAAGTGAATGCGCGACGATTTTAGTTGACTGCTAAATAACTTTTAAAATAAATGGTTTTCCCAACTGGACTTGGTATTCGATTTTGTAATTATTTGTGGTGAGAATTTGTTGAGAGAGAGGGGAAGGGGGTTTATGCATCTTATTGGGAGTCATTTTTGCAGTTTCCTGTTGGATTTTTTTGTCAAAAGGTGGCAACTCTACAGATTTTAGTTTTTGTTTAAAAATCCGCATTTTAATGGGCTGGTTTTATAAATATAAAATAATTATATTAAATTGGAGATATACATTTTGGGCAATTTGTTTTTGTATTTAAGCACTGTTTTTATTTAAGCAATTTTTATTTGTGTTTATTTCTACAAAGTGGCAACGCCGCCAAAAACAGCTGTTTGACAGCGTTTTTTACTTTTCAAAGAAATCACGTAAGTCGCCGTTTGTTTTGATTTTCTCTGAAACTAAATGTTCTCTTTTGTGCAGAATGTCGGGTACCAAGGTGCTGCGCTCCCTGCTACATGAACTGCGACAGGCCTCGCCGAATGGCTGCATCAAGGACAACCTGGCCGCGCGCTACATTCTGGCGCAGTACAAGAAGTTCGAGACCACGGACCAGCAGCTCTGCAAGGCCCGCAACGAGGCAATCTTTCTCGGGCAGACGTACCTCACCTACCTGAGCAGCCAGCGAAACTACACGGAGCTGTACAAGGAGTTCCATGGGAGGGGAGAGCGGTCCGTAAGGGACACCGCAGATCTGGTGGGCTTCAAGCTGCCCACGGATCCCAAGTGATCTGGAGTTATTGTAGGTTCTAGCGTAGCGTGCGATTAAAGCGGTTAAAGTTGCAAAAATCCGTGCTTTTATTTGAGCTACTGAATCATCTGCCTGAGCATGGTTATGACGCGGTAAGTAACGCTCATCACCTGAGAGGTACACAGGGGGATTTTATGGCCTTGTTTAGGGAAACTCAAGGAGTTAAGACTTGCCTGCTTGAAGGTATCCAGCGATATGGGCAGGTAGCCCATGGCACTCAGCTCAACGGGCTGCTGTGCCCGAATGATGATGATCAGCAGCCACTTCTTGTAGGATATCGAGGCGTTGTGAAAGTCATGGTTGTAAACGGCATGGGCAATGTCTGAACTCTGGAGAGGATCCATATTAGCAGGGTTTGAACCACATTCCTAGGTTAACTTACCAAATCAAACACTTCCTGGCCGTAGTAACATACCAGAAATACCTGCAAAGTTGAGGTGGCAATGAAAATCACATAGGAAACTCCCTCCAGGGTGAGACCCTGTATTAGAGTGTAAACCGATACTGTGCAGAGAACTGCGGCGGTGGTCAGCAGGCTCAGGAGCAGGGAACCCCCAAAAATGCCATTGAGGTAGTTTTGTAACCTGAAAATGTTTTTTTCTTGTCCTAATTAAATTCAAAACTACTTTTTATTTAACTCACTTGACCAGATACACATGCTTCTCCACTATTTGCGCCACAAATTGTCGGTCTTGGTCCTCACGATCCACACTGGGCTTATGGTCCTTCAGCGATCTTATAATGCCCCTAAAGTGCATATTTATTTGCGTTTGAAAATAAATCAGCCAGAGATCTGCAGCTACGTTGGATATAACCATCTGTGTGCTGTGCAGCCACTCTACGGCATAGATGCCCACGTAGATCCATACAGAATCCTTCTCGGGATCGAATATGAAGTAGGGATAGCAGTGCATGTAGGTGAAGCCACTGTTCGTCCAATACGATATAATCGATTGTATAATAGGTCCAATGACCACCATTATCGAAGACCCAATGTAAAAGAGAACTAGGTAGACGAACATCTTGGACCAATAGTGCTCATTCACCCGAAGGTAGATCTTGTCCAGCGTGGTCTTCGGATACAGGTCAGCCAGCTTGGTATCCAGACTCTGGATGGCACTGCGCTGCATGGCGGTGGCGTACTTGGTGTCCGAATTAATGACATAGGTGACCAGAGTGCTATAGCGCATGATCAGCGAGATGTTGTTAATGGTTTTGCCCTCCACTATCCGGAAAATCATGAATCCCACACAAAAGCCGTGACAGCCAAGACACAAAATGCGATATAGACGCATTAGTATCCTCCGGGAACGAGTCTTCGGGGAGCCCAGCATGTCATAGCCCATGATCCTGAACACGGCGGTGGGCAGCCAGGCAAAGTCCTCGTAGTTGTAGTGCACTGGTTCCATCACAAAAACGTTTTGAGGTGTCCTTAGTCAAGTGGCGAGGTATTTATAGATGTTAGATCCTGCAAGGATGGTTTGCGGTTTGGATTGAGCACACCTGCTGCCTTTAATGAATGAGGTTACGTGCCTGTGGACAATTAGGCAGGGTGCTAAGATGTATAAATAATTCATTTTCAGTGTCTCGAATTATTATAAAATAATGAAAAGGCTTTTTAGGCTTTTTTCATTAGGCTAAATATATAAATTTTAATTGTAATTGGATGACCTTTAAGGAAGACATTACCTGACACAAGAATAACATAAGATTTAATGAGCTATTTTAATTGTTATTTTTTTATTTGAAAAAGTTTTACGTTTGTTCTTGTTATTTTTTAAGCCTTTAACTGCACGGCAAAGAGCAGACAATAAAGAAAACATGTGAGTAAAAATTACCATTAATTAAGATCAATTGAAAGAAGCTCAGAATCAAAGTTGCAATAACCAAGGCCAATTGGGTTATATAGGGTTTATGGTTCTGAGTTTTATATTCTTGAATAAAGGTGACATAGGTTAAGTATATTTATATTATGACAAAAATATTTAAAAAAGGGTATTGGTAGAGTATACTTTTCCCTATGTTTGTGGCCATTAAAAGTTGTGTAAGTTAGGGAATGTCTTGTGGTTTTACACCTTTAATAGCTTAAGGTTTAAAGATTAATAAGGTAAAAGTTGCTGTTAATATTCGAATATATAATTAAGTGTAGTTAGAAGAATCTATTTCTAAAATAAGAAATAAGATTAGAAGGTTTACAATTTTTACGTAAATCGGAAGATTTGTGTTATTTTTTCAATTATAAAACAATTAAACAGATTTTACTTCATTAATAAAATTGTTAAGCTTTTCTTCTGAAAATCTTGTATTTTTCCATCACATATTTTCTTACATTCCTTTTCCTTTCAATAAATTTCTTAAATTGAAATTACGTTTATTATTTATTGTCTTGTTTCTGTGCCCATTCCCTGAGCCTTCCATTAAAATATCTACGCATAATAATGCTGTTTGTGAGGGAGAGGCGATGGCAACCACTTGGTCACTGCTTGCACTTAATAATTTCCATAAATGTGCTCCTCCTCACTGCGTTTTCTTGGGCGTTTCTACCGTTTCTTTGTTGTTGTGGCTGTGCCGTTGCACTTGTCTTTGTTGTTGACATTCATGAAATTCTTTGGGCTCAGGCAACAAATTGGCATTGGGAGAGGGAAGACGAGACATCCCCTCCCACCTATAGGTTTCGTCCGACATCTGACTGGAATGTTAAGCAGCCGAAAGGAGGTATCTTCGATTCGTTGACAGAGCAGCAGGTGGACAAGTGATACCTAGGTATCACCTCTAGTTGGTATATGACATGGGCTTAAATTGCACAAAATATAGCATATCAAATATGTTTTTTAGTATTTTTAAAAACACAATTACCTCAACTACAAGTTCCTTGTACTCCCAGCTCTATGATACATTTTTAAATATCTCCCTAATGCTTTTGTTTTGATTTCCCACTCAGTTCCACGGCATCAAGCTCTCATTTATTTCTGTCATATTATTGCTCAATTTTCCAGTAGGTCATCTATGTATTGTTTGTCAGTTGCCATTACCGAAGCATTCTGGCTCAGCGCGATATATAGTATATATATAGCTATAGGTTCCGACCCATGTTGAACTTCTCTCATCAATTTTACTGTCGTCTTGCCCTGCACATGTATGTAATTTATTCATTAGCTTCAATTGGCAGCCAACTGTTGCCTCCCAGTTCGGTTTTTTGTTCTACGAGCAGGCTATATCTGAAACCGATGCCCTATATCCGCTCCGAGAATTGCACTTGCAAAAGCATCCCAAACATTAATGGGACATTTAAAGAGATTTATGTATGCACTATGCTCGGCAGCTATGCGTCACGATCCCCACTTGTCTGTTTAAAATAGAAATTAGAAAATATTCAGGCCGCCTGTGTCCCAATTTCTCTGGGATGAGTTGGATCTGTGTGATGTCCGCAAATAAATGAAAATCCTGTCAAGTCATCGGGACACCGGAAAGTGCCCCGGTGTTGGTATCACCGTCTCACTAAATACTTTATGAGGCCGAGGCGCCTTTGTAAATCTCTTTTTTTCCTCGTCTGGCTCCAAACTAAAATAAACACAGCAGACCGGGACGCGGATCCGGACCGGGTCCTGGTGCATAGACAACGGCAAACACCCTAAAACCTAGAAGAAAACACACACACACAAAATGAAAAACAACAACAAAAGCAGCAGCAGGAGAGATGAATGGCTGGCTGGTGGAACAAAGAGCACGCAGAGCAAGAGACGGATGTGGGCAACAGGCTGGCCCAGAGACGTTGTCTGTCCAACAGTCGGAGATGTGGAAGCCAGGAGGAGGGAAGGTGGCACACCATTTGCCCGGCGATCAAATCCAATGGCCAGGGGTTTTGTCCTCCAACACGGCAGCATTAATCGGCATAAAGTACAATTTCTCTTACCCTTTTCAAGGTACCAATGCGATTTCAATATCCATTATTCAGCCAGGGTATGGGGTGCTGCAGTACGGAGTGGAATGACTACACACAACAAAAATATGTATAAATTTTGAAGGATATTTAATGGAAAAATTAAGCATTTGTAAATGGTTTTCCCTTTAAGATTTAAATTAAAAATTATAAAATTTAATGCAAGATAAAGATTCTAAACATATATTTCCTATTAAGACATAATTTTATCCACGCTTTGGGATGAAACATGAAGGCCTTTGACAGTATGCGCTACCCTATAATTCCCAAGGAGTTTTAGCGCTCAAGTCGTGATATAAAATATTAACAACAAATATTTCATTTTATTTTTATGGAATTTAATATTTAACATATTTTTCTCAGTACACCAAAGTGACCCGTCTGACAATGCAGGACGTTTTTTTCAAACAGTGTTTGCATTATGCGGCGAACAGAACCCGGGCCAGGACCCATCGCAGACCACACAAGGGCAAACAAAGACCAGGAGCTGGAGTCATGGTAAGGTTATTGCGCTTTTCACTTTCCCATTTATTAATGAATTTATTGGTCCGACTGCATTTGATGCGCAAATGCATTTGCACATTTATCGTGAAGCTGACAGGATTCGTTCCAAAAGGGGGCAAAATTAAATGGAAATAGCAATTGGTATGACTTCGTGGGGGCGGCAATTCAGCGAGGACGAGTCAAGGGTAGATCTACGCATAGCATTTATCATAGCTTTTGTTTTGGTTACATTTCAGCTGCTTCCGTTTCCAGGACGACCACCGAGTGGGTGGATGGCCACGGACTATGTGCCTTCCCTTGGATCCTGGCAGCTGTCAACCGAAAAGTGCTGAACCTGCGTAATTAATAGTGCGGAAATTTGGTAATTCTCCGATTACAGCTGTCGGGCCAAAGGAGACAAAGTTAGGGAAGAGATAAGGGAGTTGGAAATTAGGGAAAGGAAACTAATACTTTTTATGATTTGGAAATATTTTAGGAAGTATTTTAGAAATTTTCTAAGCGAAATTAAATAATAAATTTATCCTAAAGATGTATTTTAAGGTTATTAATTCTTTATATTAATACTTTAATATTTTATATTATTTATTTTACTTGTAAAACTTTTAGGCCTGGTTATTAATTGTTCGAAGGACTCTTTAAATTCATTTTTTGACAGCAAGCTTACATTTAAAGGCTCCTAAAATGTTCTTCTCATACCAACTATGTTTAAAAATGAATTAAAATTATATTTCTTTTAAGTTTCTCATAGAAAAAAAATATATAATTACATTTTTAATAAATGACCTTTAGTAATAGTCCTGAAATAAAGCAAACTTCCTTCCAAAACTGACCATAAAGGACACCATTGTCATAGGGGGTTGCGACAAAAAAAAAGTCAACAAACAAGCCTAATCCCTAGGAAACCCCCTGATAAACAAGGAGAAAGACTATTCTTTTGTTTAAATGTTTGCTGGGTAAGCAAACAACCGGTTCTCCTTCCTGCACTGCCTCAGTTTCTCTCTCCAGTTCTCATGCTCTCTGTTTTTCTCGCAACAACTCGCGTTGCTCATTCGCCGAGTTATCCGCTCACCGTTCATCGGCGGCCGGCGCTCAGTTCCCGCTGAGCATTCAAAGCAGACGGTTCGGTCTCGGTCTCGGTTACGGTTACAGTACACTGCGTTTGGGCCTGGTTTAAAAGTCTAAACTCGATACGTTTACGACTCGATACGAATTCGATTCGATTCGATTTGATCTGATTCTGTGCGCCGTTTTGCCTGCCCCGCGTGGCCATGTGAAGTGCTCGGTCCAACGAAATTTAAATTTATCCCTGATAAAGCCTTTGAAACGAAAGATAACGATCTATATATGTTGATATATATATAGTATAATGATTGTGCCAAGAACTGTGCTCTGATTAGGCAAGAAAATTGCAAGTGACCACCGGAGTGTCGTAGGTAAATGTGGTTCAAGATCCCCCCCTCCCCACTCCCACATCCACCTGGTTAAGATTTAGTTGCCTCTAGCGGATCATCGTTGAAATAGTTATTTACATTTTTAATTTATATAACGGTGGCGGCTGTGGTGCCGTAGTGCCTGTGGTTCTGGGGATGCTCATGCTCCCCCAGCTGCCTAACCCGTTTACTGGAGTTGGCCAAGAAACTACAGCAGCACGCACATACAGACAGTGCATCAAGTTGCTGTTCTGGCGCATCCGTGTATCTGTAAGATACACGTACTTGCCGCACACACCTTCTGCCTGCCTGCCTGCTCGCCTGCCTGCCTGCCTGCCTGCTGAGTTTCCTTACCGTCTCTTTCTCGGGGCAATGTTTATTTTTGTTTGCTCGCCCAGCAAGCGGGAAAAACAAGTTTTTTTCTTTGAAACCAAAACAACAAGACAACAAAACAACAAGGAGTTAGCCACAACTGCGCCACAGCTCTTGGCCTGGCTTTTGCCTTGGAAAATACTCGGTACTCGCGGTGGAGCTGTGTGGTGAAAAGTTCAAGTGAAGACAACTGTTGCATTCAAAATACCAAAAGATAAATATATACATTTATGCATCCGAGAGCGTGAACGGAAGATGCGTTAATTAGCGGATGAGAAAAGAGTATATATGTATGTATATGCCCAATAGTGACTCGAATCAAGTCGTTAATCAAAAGCCGGGACCATGCGATAATTAGTAAATGTCGCGACAAAACGTTATAAATAAACTTTAAAAAATAATGTAAAAAAAAAAAAGAAAGTTTATTTTTTGGCTGCAAAATTAAACGAAGCCTGTGTGTGTCACATAAATAATTAACTTCAGTGAGGCGTTAAAGAGTAAAACCCCGAAAAAATAAAATATACATATATACATTGGCATGCAACAAGTGTTTGCCATATGTCCGCTCATTTCGGTTTTCCCTCGTGTGCGTGTGTTTTTTCTTGTATACAATTCACTCAAGTGCAGTCTCAGTCCCCTTCCCAGTTACAGTTCCCACTTCCCCGTACCATTCCCAGTCCCAGTTGCAAAAACTTCCCTCCGATAACACCGAGTTCTCTGAATCATTCCGTATATCTCGCAGAGTGCAAAAATACAAGGAGCATCGATCGAGATCAGACCACCATCACCACAGACCCGCCATCATCAGGATGGGCTTCTCATCGGCCCTGCAAAGCCGGGCCGCCCACGAGGCGCTGATTGTGCGCCAGGATGCTGAGCTTCGGCTGATGGAGACCATGAAGAGATCCATACAAATGAAGGCCAAGTGCGACAAGGAGTACGCCATCGGTCTGACAGCTGTGGCCCAGCAGGGCCTAAAGATCGATCGGGCTGACGAAATGCAAGGTAAGGCAAGCGCCATTTCCTCTGGAGACTCTGATAAGATTAGACATGCAATATTATTTGGTTAATGATAGGAGCAGAAGTGCACTGGCCTTGGGATAATATCTATAGGGGGAGAGACTTGGGTGTCATTCAGGTTTATTTTAAGTGATTTTTATACAGGTTTTCTTAATAGGATTTTGGCTGAATTCCTGTAGAAATTAGAGACATATGTTCAAACAAATAAATTGTATTAACATATTGCTTTTATAAATTGGGAAAATAGCTTTGAACTTGCCTGACCTCTGGGCATTACTCAAACAATTTACTGGGTGGTCCAAGCGGTTACAGCATCCATTAGTCAGGGTAAACTGTGCAGCAGTTATAATGGTTGTAGCTGTGATAAGCCGAGGGATGATAGTGCTAATACCCTCTGGTGGCGTCAATGGGATCGGATAAGGCAGCATGGCGCAGCATTCCCGTTCGGAAATCTTAAACTCTTGCCAAGACTGCAGGCAGCCAGGTCTTTCTGGTGTGAATTTTGGCAGCCTTTGGAGATGGAGGCGGAAACTGACCAGGCAATCGCGTGACTTGATCGCATTTCCAAGTGAATAATACGCGTAGGGCACTATTTCAAACGATTCGAGATAATCGCCAGACAAGCAAATCGTTTTCAACTACCGTGCTCTGTGTGGCATCATCATCAGCATCATCCGCTTGCTGGACAGGACTCTTCGTTCCGCCTCGAGTCGGGGTAATTGCCATTGCACTGGCAGATAAAAGCTTAAATAAGAACTTCCCTGGCTTTATAGTTTTTTTGTATCTGAAATGAGCCCTAGTCTTTACCTTCTGGCCCTCCAATTAAAGCTAATAATAGTTTCCAAATGGAGAACCAATATCCTCAAATCGTTTGGCTTTCCTTTAACTATATATTTTTTTTCGCCGTGTTGTTCTGGGCGGCGTGTGCATCTCGCAGATACACGTACCCACGGCTACTTGCCAGCTGAGCTCATCAAAGTGTCGACAAAGTGCAGCTGTCTCGGATTCCGGTGCTGGGAGCTGCTCCCCATTCTTCCTAGGCGAATGCGAATGCGAATGTGCTTGCGAAATTGCTATAATTTCCAGTCAGTGTCAGTTTTTGGCTTGGGAAATGTTTTCCTCGCTGTTTACATGGTCCAAACAAATGTATCCGCTGGATGCGAGTAAAACGCACACCACACACACACACACAAGCAGGGCGGCTAACAAAAGCGAAGCCAAGTGATTTAGTTTGGGCCATTTGATAGTCATATAGCCAGTGCAGCCGCCTCTCACCTTGACCCTGAACTTGAACAGAGTTTCTACGGTGCGCTGCTCTCTTGGCCAAAAACAGACGTGGGTATTATACTCGAATTTCCGACTTTACTCGACACAAATAGCATATATGTATACATTTGAAAATGTTGGGAATACGCTTTGCGTCATATTAGCGTAACTCTGGCTTAAGACCAATGATTCATTGGACTGGCTTTCGCCTGCACTTTTCCCCAACTGTTGAGCAGAGATAATCATCAAAGTGAGTCACAAGTCTGGGCTAATTGTGGATTAGCTGAGGGTTATTTTGCGGTAATTAAGGCTAAACCTAATAAAGATATTCCTTAGGTGTTTACTTTATATAAACAAATGGGGATGTAACCATATTATAATCTTATAAGATTAAAAAACAAAATCAGTTAATTACGGAGGAGAAGATAACCAGAAGCATAAAAGATTGTAAGGCGTGATCTTTGGACTAGATAAAATTCTCTTTGTGGGGTGTTTTTGGTAATCTCTAGAGAATTAAAGCGACTTATTTATTTTTTTTTAGTAAAGAAAATATGTAATACAGCTTAATTGGAGTTATTTTTTGTCTATTTAAGTCAGAAAAGAATCAAATAAATATAAGAAAATACTATTTTTGGCAGAAAAGAAACGAAGTTATATTAAAAGGAAAGGAAACATCTATAAACTTTCCTAAAATGTCTCTTTTTTAATATTAATTTGTTTCTTTTCTGTGTCAAATATTATTCTCTAATATTTATTAGTTTCTTTTCTTACTTAAATATTCAAAAATACTTACTTTCGGAAACTTCCCAATATAAAGATACAAATTCTATAAAATTTATATCACAAATTTTATTTAAATTTAAAATATATAAATTTAAATTACATATCTTCCCCCTCACAGGCAGCCTGATCACCAAATCCTGGCGTTCCTACATGGATGAGCTGGACCAGCAGGCAAAACAATTCAAATTCAACGCCGAGCAGCTGGAAGTCGTTTGCGACAAGCTGACACATCTTTCACAGGATAAACGGAAGGCAAGGAAAGCCTACCAGGAGGAGCATGCCAAGATTGCAGCTCGCCTGAATCATGTGAGTGAGGGGCAGCCAACACCTTAAATCCTCTCTTAAAGATTTTATTAAAACCAACAAGCAGGGACGCACCCAAAAAAAAAGACAAATGAATTAACAAAAAAGGGGAGGCACTGAGAAAAATGGGTGATAAGTAGGGAAGGTGTAAGGGAAAATATGATGCGATTTTAAATCAGCAATCAGGTTCATAAGCCTCAAATTTCACACTTGCTTTCTTTATAGACAATTTGGTTTAAGTTTGGATCTAAGGAACTTTTACTTAGTTATGGTTATCAACGAAAAATAAAAATAAATCAAAACGAAAATGCTAGCCAAAATGTTTTAAAAACTTTCAAGGTTTTAGATAATTCTCAGAGTGTAAAAATTCATTTATTTATGATTACAATTGAGGAGTCAGTCAGCCACAATAACAATCATTATAACTCGAAGCACCGCCCACAGCCTTCATCGTCGTCGTCTTTTGTTGTTTGTTGCCGCCTGCCTAATGTCCGATATTCTTATTTATCAAGTATTTGAGTAATCAAAATAAATATTAAGCATATTTCTGCGGAAAAGAAGAAACAACTCTGGGGCATATTTAAGCAGCTTAAGAGAGTCGTGTAAACACTCGCCAAAAACGAAAAAAAGAAGGAGAACATCGACTGGCTTTGTTGTGGATGTTGCCCGGCGATGTACTAAATCAATAGAAGTGTTTATTTATGAGCCGTGTCGTGCGGCAACAAGTTTATTAACCCAGCGGGCAGAAAATATTAGGAAAAAATCGAAAAAAGCTCTCGGTAGATAGAGAGCAACACGGGCATGAAGAAGGGTCAACAGCAGAATATTGTGAATATTCACGGGTGCTGACAGCAAATTAGCATTTGGACAGCCACAAATAGCTCGGCGGCGGAACTTCAGTCAAGTACGAAAAGGTTGCCCTGCTGTTTTGTTATATCTACATACATATATGAAAAATGTTGGCTTTTAGGAGCGTTCTGGCCATATGCGACAAATGACCAAAATGGCTGACGGTGACCCCAAAAAAAAGGAGATTGTTTTGTGATGATTTTGGCACAGAATTCCGGGGCTACTGTATCTTCCTGTGGCCTTTGTCAAAATCGAAAACAAAAGCCATTGCTCCGTTCCACCAGCTTACTTTAGTATTATTTATTTATTTATTTACCAAGATATCTATCTATTTTTCGCTGCAAACGAGACCGAGTCTTTTTGCGCCGCAGTTTCGCTTAATTTTGAATTTAAAATGCCAATCAAAATTTCAGCAAATCGTTGAAGATTCCATGATTCGCCCTCCCTCTCTCTCATCGTTAAACAATGTCTTATGCCCGAAATTGTTTATTGCAGTTCAAAGTTTAATGGGTTTGATGAAATGTTCGGCGAACCATTCAGCGATTTATTTGCAACAACAATTGTGTATAATCAAAAAATAAATAAATAATAAAGTAAGAAAAAGTAAGGAGTAAGTGGGCCCAACAAAAACTGGCAACAACACATGCTCCAAACTTGCGCCAAGCTCAAGTCAATTGACAACAATTTAGCGAAATAGCAATAAAAATTACAAAGCATGCAGACAGCAGCAAAAAAGCGAAAAGAAACTAAAACGAAATTCTGGGTAAAAATGGCTCCAAGTGGAAGATGAGTAGAGAGCTTCGCCTTTGGCTCTGACTTGAATCCGTTTGAGCAGCCAAGAGCCACAAGAAATGCACTTAGGAAATGAAAAGATTTGTTTTTAATCAAATATATTAAATTAGAAAAATAAATAAATATTATCTGATTTTTTTATTTATTTTTTTTTTTTATTTACTAGAATATTCTAAACCAACAAACATTTTCTTCTACAAGTTCTTAGTTTAGGAATTGCAAATTGCATATCAGTATATCGATAAAGATATCGATCTAAAGCGATATTCTCGATATATATTTTACACCAATTTCCGCCTTTAATCTTACAATTTAACTGTGCCAACCAAAAAAACAAGCTTAACTTAGCTTAAACTGTATTTGTCGAAAATAATATTTGTTAGGCGCTTAAAATAATTTTATTTTAAACTAGTTCTAAATATATTTCTTTAAAAAGGCATATAAAATCGTATATATATTGGAAAATATCGATATCTTAACGATAAGTAGGGATATTTCGAATTTCTAAAGAAAGATAGTATATCGGACTTTTTCTCTTGAAACACATCCTAACTCCTTTTTTTAACTTATCTGCAGCCTCTATTTTTTTACAAGTGTTTTCCTCTGGCACCCCTTTTTTATTCTTTGCTCCGGCTTCTAGTTCTCCTTCGTCTTTGGCTTTTCTTTATTGGACTTTGACTCTGTAATATTTGCGCAATGGATTGAACGGAGCAACAGCAACAAAACCTGAGTTATTGTCGAAAGAGCCGGGGACAAGAAGTCATCGGGGAATTGTTGCTGTGTTGTTGATTTAATAAGTGTCTAGAAATGGGTCGTCGAGTCGGTTAGTAGGCGCCCATGTGTGCGTGAGTATCTGAGTGTGTGTGAGCGAGCAGCAACAACATCAGATGCCCGAGCATCGGAATCGGTTCTATATGGTGTTGATGGATTGAATTGCAATACAGTGTTGATGGATTGGCATTAGATTATTATTATTGAGAGCAGGCAAACAATTTAGACGTTTAAGAGAGTGAAGAAAATTGATTAACATGCCTGCTAGGGGGATAGATGGATTTTAGAAGGTTAAGCTTTGGAAATAATATTTAATTAAAATAAATAATAATACAACAAATGAAAAATAATTATCCTTAGGATATAAAAAGTCTGCTTTATTTGCTTTAAAAAGTATTTTAAATGCAGTCTACATTTTATTTAAATTATTTGCTCTTTAAACTAGTTAATTATTTACCCCACTAGTTTTCTAATTCAAGTCAAGCAACAACATTTTATAATTGTATATTTTTTTAATGGAAATGCATAATGAAAAGCAATTTAAAAAGGGGTATACTCTTTTCTAAACTCACTTCCTTTTGGCATTTTAAGTAAATTAGTTTTTTAATGTCAACCCTCATTACCTCTACTTTTCTGGTACATATTTAAGCAGTTTACTTAAAACTATCAATTGTGCCAGCCATAAAATCTTAATTGATGCCATAAAGATTGTAAAATGTCAATAGTTTGCAATTCCAGGAAACTTGCCATTACTTAATTGGCCTACAAAAAGTTCTCTTAAAAACGAGTAGAGAAGCCCTGAAAATCCAATCACTTAGGCCAAACTGTCACCCAAAAAATATTTAACAAGACATTTTGACCAACTGCGTTGTTTGGTTATTAATTGAAGGCACTTAAGGGCGTCATTCATATACATAGATATCTGTGCATATATTTCCCTCTTAATGCTAATGGATTTGGAATTGGCTTTAATGTATCTCTTCTGTATCTTTTGTGCGCTGCCCCCGCAGAAAAACGCATTAGGGTTCTACTTCCGGGTGGGTTTTCCACCGCTTTTCCACACCATACACAGACATGTGTGCTAGCCGCTTTGCTGGGGCTTCGCATATTTCTCGCTTTGCTAGACCGCAGAATATGGCCCAAGTCTGGCTCTGCTGACGGAGATACATTTCCATTTCCATTTCCAGCGGCTGGCATTGAAAATACTGCGGCGGCGAATGGCTCTCGTATTAATTACAATAAGTTCAATTCAAGTGTAGTATCTTTATGGCGGGGCATACACACAGCGACGTCAACAATCGGTCGTCTGTCTGCTACGTCTCTTTCTCTGGTATGTCAGATAAGCCGATAAGATATGGGTGTTTTTTTTGAGGGGGCGGGGGAATACGAAGTGCTGTACTTCGATCGCAGTGCAAACCGAGTAGCCACATCAAATGTATCTATCAAATGCACATGGCCCGGCCCAGAGCAGCGCACTTGAAGATACTTAATAGGGGGCCATCGCCCGCTTGGAATTCCTCATTAAATGCGAACAAACCGTATGCGAGAGACGGCGCCAAAGTTATTTTTTAACCACCCCCGTCTTACCCCAGTCCCTTCACTTGACTCAATTGGTTTCTACACAAAAGCCTTTCGGACAGACAGCCATTTAATTGAGCTGCATTGACCTGTGCCCGGAGTTCTCAAGTGTCTACAAAGTTTTTACCCCAATGCATAATTGCCACACGCTCAGGGATGGATGGTAATATGGCAAACCGAAAGATGCACCGAAAAAAAGAGCTTAGTAAAAGTAAATATTCGAGAAAGTTAGCATAACATATATGAGCTATAATTTATATTTTGAAAAACTTACATTTAACTTATCAAAATGAGCAAGAAAATGTTTCTAGACAAATGTATCTAGGCATATGTTGCTAGAAAAAAGATGTTAGGCATATGTGGCTAGGTACATGTTGAGCTAGAAACATTGTTGCTTCTCAACAAGTTGCTAAAGCACAGGTTCATCATAAACACAAAATATATTTGTTATTAACTCCCTTCTTTATTAAGACATTGTCCTCAAATTTTCTAGAATATTTTATAATTATTATTTATTTACTTATAAAAAATGCTCAAACAAAACAAACTCCCAGACTTGTTTTTCTCCCTGTACAAATTCAAATGAGTTTGACTTCCAAAAGTTAATGCAAAACCAAAGTTGTGTGAACTGGCTTTTGGGTAATCTCGGCTCACTGAAACATTGTGATACGGTTGGGACCAACATGCGGCAGCTCTGGGCAACAGTTCCGCCCGGCAAGATAAATTGGTTCCCCAAGATCTGAGCCAAGTACAGGGTCGGGTCAGAAGTGCGTTTCGTACCATTTCTGGCCATAAATTGTCAACGTCTTGATCCCTAAATGCTAAGCACACATAAAATGCCAAAACAACTTAACTGTTGGCTGTCTGCGTGGGGTACTTCCGGGGGCCAAAAGGGAGTTGTAACTACAAAGTTTCTTGACATTGCGACAAAAGCTGCACAAATTGCAGGCAAGACACTCGCACTCACACATGGGGGCAACTTGTAGATACTTTTGTATCTGTTTATCTGCTAG